GTGTGTATATGAGTATGCGTACTCACGTAGGTACTGCACGTTTTGTACGCAAACTCAAAGTACACCTTTGAGTGTGTCGTTGTACTTCGCTTGCACACAAAATTGCAATTGTTGTGTTGCTAATTTCGGGTTGCTCTAGCCTTAGTGGTGGTATCAACATTTGTTAACACCTCATGTTGTTTAATAACTATTAATATTAATTAAAAATTAATTGGTTATATTAATTAAAAGTAATTAATATTAATTAAAAATTTTGTATTTGATATAGAAATTATTATCTAGATTTTCAGATTACCTTGTTGTCAATGGATTAATTAAATTATTTTAGCCAGTAAATTTGTGCGAAAATTTACATGTACACAATTCAATTATAAATACATTGATTAAATAATTAATTAATAATTAATTAAACTAAATAGTTAGCTTAATTACTATTTAATTATCCAATTAATTTTATTCTAATCATTCATCTTCCAATATTTTAAAACAGAATTTTTTTCGTGACAACTTTGATGACCATCTTCTTCATCACATTTACTCGCAGGACTAAAATAAAATATTAAAAGTTATAATTATTACTATACTATTATTATTGTTGTTAATTAATTATTTAATTACTTAATTAATTGATTGCGGCTACAATTTGGATCTAAAAGTAATTAACCAGCATTCATTAAGGTTAGAAACTTCATTACTGGCTATTCATAAATATAATAAAAATTAATAATAATAATAATGATAATAAGTAACTAAGATGTAACAACTGAATATATAGCAAGCTATTAATGATGATGTTTATATTAGTATCAAACGATTATTTATGTTGTTTATTATTGTTATTCTATTTATTGTGGCGTTATTATTATTATTATTATCTTCATCGTTATCATGATCGTCAACAACAACATTATTATTATTATTATTATTATTATTATTATTATTATTATTATTATTATTATTATTATTATTATTATTGATGTTTTTATTTACTGTTACTCTTTTAACATTTTGATTACAACTTGTTACCTTCATTGTTGAAAAGGTTATTGACAACTACAACAACAAAAACAACATTTGCAACAACAACAACATCATCTGCAATGAAATAGCAATAAACAACTACAATAACAACAGCAACAATAGCACGACGTGAATTAAACGATTGAAATGTTTATAAACAAATAGATAAATGTAATGCAATGGGACCATTATACATAACATCCCGACATCACTAACAACATAAATAATAATAATTACTATAACAATAACAACAACAACAATAACAATAACAACAACAACAATAATAATAATAATAAAAAAAAGCAATAATACCGACAAGAACAAAAAAAAAGCATGTGTACATATAAAGATAATTGATTATTCATAAATAATACGAGCAATGTTTTCAAAGGCATTTCATGCTTGTTAGGAAATATTGTCACAAGCACTTTGCGTTACGTCATTACCCTCCTAATTACGTCATCACTTCGTCATCCTTCTGTTGCCATCTGTTATCATTATTCTCATCACCATTATCACCATCGTCGTCATCAAGTTATCATCGTCGTCATCGTCATTATTGTCATCATTCTCATCATCGTTTCTATCATCATCATTATAACAACTCTAACTTTTTGTTATCATCATCGTCGTCACCATCGTCTATACCATTGTCGTATTGTTGTAAGGCAGCCGACATTTTTAACATCATTCAATCATCGTTTAAGTCATCTTAGTCATCATCTTCACTATCACATCATCATCATCATTTTCACGTCATCATCATCATCATCTTCTTTTCCGTCCTCAACATCCCATCATCATCATCATTTTCACGTCATCATCATCATCATCATCATCTTCTTTTCCGTCCTCAACATCCCATCATCATCATCATTTTCACGTCATCATCATCCTCTTCTTCTTCTTCTTTTCCGTCCTCACCATCCCATCACCATCAGCAGCATCATTTTTCATCATCCTCATCATCATAATCTTCGTCATCATCATCACGATTAGCAAATAGAATGACGGCGACTCATCAATAATGACAACAAGCGTATAATGGCAGCATTAGCTGCAAAGAGAGCAGAAACAACATTAATAATAATAATAATAACAATAACAATAATAATAATAACCAGTACAAACAACATACATACAAACATACAATCAATACTTCCATTCAAAGCATTTCTCTGTTCTCTTGGTCACGTGACTGAGCAGTGGGTGATGATGATGATGACGACGACGATGATGATGTTAAACATCATGGTTGTGATGACGATGATGAATATGATGATGATGATGACGATTTTAAACATGATGGTTGTGGTGAAGATAATGTTGTGATATTGTTTCATAAATTTGATCCCTAAGGATCTTTTTAACATACCAGAATCAGTAAGAAATGATTTCAGATGATTTGCTACAGACAAGATGGTGCAAAATTACTCCCCATCATAAACTATTTCTGAATTACTTATTATTACTTAAAAACTACTTATAAATTACTCATTACTTATTATGATAATAGCTATAAACTGAATAGTACATACTATGCAAATTTCCATCTTAAAAATGCAAAGTAGATTGAGTCTGAGCATCGGATTGTATAATGAAATAGCCTCTCGCTATTCTATTCGTGGTTCAGTTTTTAATCATTTGTTTGTTTGTGTGTGTTTAATTGTTTTTCTGCTTGTTTGTTTGTTTCATTTCAATATATTTACATACACACACACTCGCGCAACAGATGAATTGATATTATTTCTAAAGATTTTCAACCAATCTATCCTCTATAGATCCAACAAAAACAACCCGACAGAAACTCCTGTTATAAACTATTCTACTACATTTAAAATAAAACAACAACAATTATTTTACTCACTACAAAATCGCTTCAACTGCAATATAGTGCGTTAATATTCCTTTTAGATTTAGCTTTATTTAGCGTAACATTTAAAATTAAGAGCAATCTGAAGACATTTAGATAGAGGACTGCTGGTAAAAAAATTGTTTTACAGGAATATACAATGTCTACAAATTATTTCTTATCGTAGCTTGCAGAAGATGTATGTTTGTTAAAATAGCTAATTCTATAGAAGAGGAAAGAATGAGACGAGGTGGTGTAGCTACTAACTTTTTGATATCTTGGTCGTCATTCGAATTTTATGAGATTTTCAAAATTTTTCATTTATCTATTCATTTATTTTTTGTCCTTTCATTCATTTATTCGTTCGTTCGTTCGTTCGTTCATGCACCACATTTAATATAACATTTTTTTTAAATCTAGTCGGAAAAGCAATTTTTTGGACAACAAATTAATTTAACGGTTAATAAATGAATGAATGAACGAATGAACGAACGAACGAACGGACGGACAAATGAACGAACGAACGAACGAACGAACGAGTGAATGAATGAATAAACGAATAAACGAATGAACGACTGAATGAACCAATGAATGAATGAATAAATGAATGAATAAATGAATGAATAAACGAATGAATGAGCCAATAAATGAAATAAACATTTACATGAACGGGAACACATCAACACAACGCTGTAGAGTCAGTAAGAGTCAAATGCATTATGCTGAACTATTTTATTGCGCTGTTTGAATGAGGGATGATGAGAGAAGTATTAATATTTCAATATTATCTACATGTACGAACATTTAACAATGATCAGATTATTTATTGGTTATTCACTCGCTCACTAACGCACTATGCATATACTAATTATAATAAAACACCTGCACACAAACATCCACACACACATACACACACATACAAACACTCACACGTACACAGACTCACACAAACACGCGTTCACACCTACACGTAAACTCACGAACATTTATAAATACAAAAACAATATTATAAATATCCATTTGAATACTTGGACACTTCTTCTGTCAACATAAAATAATTTTCCGAATTTTGACGACACGACTTGAAGACTTGGCTACTAGAATATTTTATTACTAATAATCATACCAGATCACAATTTCATGACATGCATGTATATTGTGATGTTAGCATGAATATTATAATATAAGTATTATTGAATCTTAGATCAAAGTTTAGTTTGATTCAACTTCAACGTAGATTTATTATATTATCCTTATTAGACATTATGTAAATAAGTTTATCTAACTATGGTATGTTGAAATTCGTTACAATGTTATTAATGATGACTCAGCATGTTGTTGTTGTTGTTGATTTTGTTGTTGTTGTTGCTGTGTCTTTATTTAGAATTTGTTGAGCTTTAGAGGAGTGTATATCGAATAGATTCAATTATATTTTGTAACAGGATTTTTTATTTATTAGTATTTTATTGGTCTTTAAAATTGGGTTTTTAGTTTTTTAAAATATTCTGAAAAATATTGCTTATATCAATTTGTGTGTTTATATCAAAACAAAACAGCGAAACTAAAATTAACCGGCCAGAAAAATTTGACACTGCTTGCTACACAACTATTACGAATAAGACACTAACAACATTCAACAAAAGTCTGAAGAAGCTAGACAACAGCAACTACAGCAGCAGCAACAACAACAGCAGCAGCAACAGCAACGACAAAAGACACCAACTTGTTCTGTTGTCATCTCGAGAGTTTGATCGTTACAATCACACACACACATCTCAAAAGTGCAAAAAAAGAGAAACTTTTCATCACAAGAATAACAATACCCGACCGGTCCTATTCATCATCATCAGCTTCTTTCCTCTAGCATTCATCCATCATCATTATTTCATTCCTTTATTCATCATTCCTTCATCATTTATCCATCTTTCATTCATTTTTCCCCAAAAAAAACAACAAACGCGTCAACTACAAAAACCAAAAATCCATTATCTTCACAAAAATACCTTTGCCTTCATTCCAAAAGTAGTTTATATTACTCACATTTTTGAATTTTTTGTCTCCACCTTCCATATTTTATTTTTATATCTGGAATCTTCTCTGGAAAGATCTTTGCCGACTTCTTTTAGAGATGGGTGGCGCCGGTAGTAAAAAGTTGCCAAAGGAGGACATGGAGTTTCTTATGCACAACACAAATTTCACGAAGCAGCAAATCAAAGCTTGGTATAACGGTTTCATGGTTAGTTTAGCTGTTGTTGTTGTTGGTGGTGGTGGTGGTGGTGATGGTGGTCGTCGTCTTTCATTTCAACAATTTTCTAAAAGAAGTTTTGTGTTAGATTTGATAAATTTTAAAAATGAACTAATAATAAATAAAGTTTTAATAATAAATAGTTAGCTGATGTTTGATCATCAATTTTAGCTTTGAAGCAATTCATTCATTCATTCGTTCGTTCGTTCGTTCGTTCGTTCATTCATTCATTCATTTATTCATTCATTCATTATTTTAAAAACACAACTTCCAGAAAGATTGTCCGAACGGCCAGCTAACACGAACGAAATTTCTGGAAGTTTATTCCAGTTTCTTTCCACAGGGCAACGCTGAAAAATTCTGCGAGCATGTCTTTCGAACGTTCGATTCGGACAATAGCGGCAAAATAGATTTCAAAGTGATGCGTTTCTCAGTTCATTTGTTCTCTGTTTATCTTTGTTGTTGCAAATGTTGTTGTTGTTGCAGATGTTGTTGTTGTTGCTGCAGATGTTGTTGCAGATGTTGCTGTTGCAGATGTTGCTGTTGCAGATGTTGTTGTTGCTGCAGATGTTTTTGGTGCATATCTTGTTTTAAATGGTGTTGTAAATGTTGTTGCATCGTTTTGTTATAATTTGCTGATATAATTAATTTGTTTATACGAACTGTTGTTGTTGTTATTGTAATTATGGTTATCATCATCGTCACTCGCAACATTATCATCATCAACATCATCAACAACATCATCATCATCAACCACAACAACATCTTCATCATCATCTTCATCAACAACAACGTCATCATCATCATCATCATTTACAACAACAACAACAACAAAATCATCATCAGGAATTCCTACTAGCTATCAACATAACCTCCGCCGGCAAACCAGAGCAGAAGCTGGAATGGGCGTTTCAGATGTATGACGTCAATGGAGATGGCACGATAGAACCGAGTGAGATGACCGAAATTATAACGGTACCGATACGATTATTTCCGATTATTTGCTACCGACTGTGCCCTAAATTTATGTCGTTGTGTGTGATTTCAATCAATGTTTACATGGATCTTTTGTGAAACATTATTTAGCGCAATCCATTTGCTAATTCCTTGTGCTCACTTTCAGTTAGAAAGCTCTCAACAACCATAAATTATGTTTGTTTAACATTTTTAAACTTCCTAAACAAATTACGACCGACAATAAAATACCTTATCTATGTTTATTTCACATCTAGTTGATGCAAAAATATTTCTAATGAGAATTTATAGGTTGAAAATTGAAAACGAGAGAGAGAGAGAGGAAAGAGGAGAGAGTTAATGCTTCAAATAACTAAAACAGAAGATTAAGAAAAGAATTTATAACAACTGCCAACATTACATCACAATTATTTTAAAATAAATAATTCTTTAATGTTTCTTAAATTCAACTTTAGAAAATTTCATAATTTTTTTGTACAAATAATTCTTTAGTATTTTTCAGATATATCAACATTAGATACTAGTAAATCAAAGCATTAGGCACATTGCGTGTTTTTGAATGTTGGGAATCCTTTTGCATTCGAAACCCGTCACTGCACCAGCCATGCCAGGCATCTTATCCATTACACTATCGTGCAGCCCAAATACATTTACTCGATGACATCGCTAGTTACATTAATATAAATATCATAGAAGGTGAATTTAGTAATATGATAGCCGGTCAAACCCTTAACACATCAAAATAACACTGAAAACAACAGCACACAGGTCAATAACAACGCAAAGAAAATCATCTGAAGAACAACCACACACACACACACACAAACACACGCACATACAAGCACGCACACAAACACAGACACATACGCATACAGACACATACACTCGCCTACAGACACAAAAACACACACCCAGGCGATATACAACATGGTGGGCCCTTCCTTATCTTACAATGACCCGAACGACACCCCTGAGAAGCGGACGAAAGAGATATTTGCCAAGATGGACGAGAACAGCGATGGAGTCCTCTCCAAAGAGGAATTCATCAAGGTATTGTTGCCTGCCAATTGCAATAGAACCTTCCTTAAAATTTATTTTGCGTGTTTCCCAGAGGTATAAGTGGTATATACGTGAATAGGCAAAACGCATCTTATTGCGTATAATCAACAGAGATTTCTTTGGCATTCAAAACCGGTTACTGTGACGCAGAATCTAGCGCCTTTACCCATTACACCACCATGCCATTTATATGTTTTTAATGGTATGCCTATGGTATTTAGGTTCTGGTATGCGTATTCTTTGTATGTTGTGTCAGTTTTATGGTATCGTCATTCATGTAGTTGGATAATATACAGTACGTCATTTTGTCATTGTTAAGTTTTTCCAATGTTTCTTTCTGTGTATGTTAGTATAATAGCTGTATGAAAAAATAGCTCATTAAATTAATATTATATCAGTGAGGTGTTTATTTGGCGTTTAAACTAATTAATTTGAAATGAATATTGTTTAAAATTATAAATTTAAAATGAATAATGTTTAAAATAATAAATTTGAGATTAATAATGTTTAAAATAACAATTTTGAGATTAATAATTCTAAAATAATAAATCCGAGATGAATATTGTTTAAAATAATAAATTTGAGGTTAATAATTTTCAAATAATAATTTTGAGATTAATATTGTTTAAAATAATAAATTTGAAATTAATAATTTTCAAATAATAATTTTGAGATTAATAATTTTTAAATAATAAATTTGGGATTGAATAATTTTAAAATAATGAATTTGAGATGAATAATTTCTTCAAATGGCAGGGATGCATGTCAGATGAGTTTCTATGCCAGATGCTAACTGCTGACGCTGGAGCTGAATGATTGATTGGCTAATTAATTAATGGATTGGTTGGTTGATTGGTTGGTTGGTTGATTGGTTGGTTGGTTGGTTAGTTGGTTGGTTGGTTGGTTGGTTGGTTAGTTGGTTGGTTGGTTGGTTGGTTTGTTGGTTCGTTGATTAATTAATAGATTGATTGATTAGTTGATTGATTGGTTGATTGATTGGTTGATTGGTTGGTTGATTGATTGGTTCATTGATTAGTAAACTAAATTGATTGGTTGAATATTGAGTTGATTGGTTGAATATTTAATTAATTTGGTAGTTTATTCAATGATTGATTGATTTATTAATTAATTTGTTGATGTATTGTATCACTTGTTAATTGAGTGTCTATTTGACTGATTAAATAATTGATTGATTGACTAATTAATTGATTGAATAATTGATTGATTGAGTAATTGGTTGATTGAATAATTGATTAATTGATTTGGTTGTTTGAATAATTTATTTAAAAAAAATATAACTCACAAAAGCTGAAGTAAGATGATAAAAATTTTGATTGACTGTTAAATTAATATCTTGATTGAATAATTAATTAATTGGCTAATTAATAAATTGATTATATAGTTAAGTGGTTAATTGATTATGTGGTTAATTGATTGATTGATTGATGTGCCAACTTAGTTTGATCAGTATGATGTAAAATTTGCATAATTAGCGTTGACAGTTTGATTCACTGGACGATAAGATGCATAACGTGTTTGTCAGAACTTGCTTGATTGGTTGGTCAGTCGATGAATTGTTTTGATTGATTAGTCGGGTTAATTTGGTTGATTGATTGATCAGTTGCTGTAAAAGTTTGCTGGCTGGCTGGTTAACTAATCTTTAGTTTGAAATTGATGATGATGATGATAATAATAATAAAGATGATGTAATGATTATGATGATGATAAAGATGATGAAGATGATGTGATGATAATGGTGATAAATGTGATGATGATGATGAATAGCGAAATTTACATAAAAGTTTTTTGCAATTTAAATGCAGTCAAAACAACTCGATATTAATTTTTTCCTATAAATTAACATAATAATAAAAATGTTGAAGTATATTGTAATTAGAGACTTCGTCATATGCACGAACGTAATCTACGTTAAATGTTCACCAGTCTCCATGTAATATCGCTGATATGTAATAATTTCTTCCTCTGTACCGTTACTCCATTCAATCCACACACATCTTCACCCGCCATTAATAAATACTTCATTCGTGCATTGTCTTACCACATTCTTAAAATTTGTAAGTGCGCGTTGTTCACATACACACAGACACAACACACATGCGCACAGATACAACACACACAAACAAACATACCCTGTACAGTACACACACATACACAATCATGTCATGCACGTATGCGTTGTCTATGCGCACAATTGCACACAATCATTCACATACGCAAGCTAGTTTGTTAGTACGACATACAAAATTACGCATTTAACAACAATCGTAAACATACAACTACATGCACACAACACACACGCCAGCATACAAATACATACGCAAACATACAATAACATACGCATACATCCGAATACAAACATACAATCTGAGAAGCAAATGGGATTACTAATTTCATTTCTATTTCAATGTACCGCAAAAAACAAAAGTAGAAATTCTAATATTCAAGACGTACGTGCATGTGTATGTTTATGCGTTTGTATGTGTGTCTGTATGTGCGTACTTTTTGTGTACCTAGCGGAGATGCACCGAATACCCGTATAGTGGATCCACTCACCAGCCAAAGGCCAAATACCAAAAAACAAAAATTTTGAAAAAAGTTAAATTTTAGAATGAAAAAGACAAGCTTTTGAAAACCGTAGGTCATTCCTGAGACGAATAAATATCTATCTATATTTCAACTCTTGTGCAAATTCTCATGTTTTAACGACTATAACGGCCGAAATAAATTCTGCACTGGTAATAATCATCAATTATTGTTCTGGAAGCTAAAATAATAATGATGGCATGAACGAAATTGCAATATTCGGTTGTTATAAATGGCTGAAGCCGAATGTCGTATCTCCGTCAAATGTTTGACTAGGTGGAATATTCGGTGCCTCTTTAGTTTTTGTGTATATTTATGGGTGTGTGTTTGTGTCTGTGTGTGAGTTTAAGCGTGTGAATCTATTCCATGCATATGATGTTCAACATAAATAATATAACAAAACACAAATAATCTGAGTGTTAGGTTTGCAGTCTAACTTGTATGTGCATGAATTTCATGACAATGTTTGTGTTTGTATGGATGTCTCTACGTTTATCACCATATTTATTCGTATGTTTGTGTTTAATTGTTTGTGTCTGATTTATGATTGTACGTATGTTTGTATGATTGTTTGCATTTATGTGTTACGTGTATGTTTTCTATGTGCGTGTTCGTAATGAATTCACTGCTCTTTAATTATCATTGAATAGATACGTGAATAATTAATGAATGCGTGTTTGAGTTTTTGCGTGTGTACATGTGCAGATGCGTGTGTGAATACAAATATGCGTGTACGTGTGTGTGTGTGAGTGTGTGTGTGTGAGCGCCTGTGTATGTGTATATGTATACATGTGTGTGTCGAAATGAATGAATTGTCTAAAGATTTTGAAAATAGAATATATGAGAATATTGCTAATAAGTCACACACACGCACACACACCAAACACACACATACACAAACAAACACTAACAAACACACACAAACAAACACACACATTGCAAGGTAATATCGTTTAATTCTTTATTCTACTTCATCTTATCATTCTAACTTTTAGACTGGCTGTTTTCAAAATGTCAAGTTTCATGTATGAAAAAAACTTACTTGCGCGTTTGAACAAAAAACTAATCTGCAATTTTCGGCTAAATTATTTTACGCTTTTTTTAAAACGAGTCAGTAATTATGAATGGTTATGAATTATTGTGTAGTAATTTTTAACAATTTTTCAATATTATTATGTAAATATTTATGTGCATGTGTGTATGTGTGTGTGTGTGTGTGTGAGAGAGAGAGAGAGAGAAAGAGAGAGAGAGAGAGAGAGAGAGAGAGAGAGAGAGAGAGAGAGAGAGAGTGTGTGTGATGTAATTAACTTTTTGTTGTTGTCGCTACTGCTGTTGCCAAAAGTCACAATTTATTTTGTCATTTAATTTTTCAATTTCTTTGTTTGTTTTTTCAAAATTATGTTTGAAAATAATAATACTAATAATATAAAACTATTTTATTATTATTATTAATTATTATTTTTGAAAAAAGAAACTTTGTTGTATAGTTTGGCTTCGAAAAAAATTTCATATATATTCTTGCATTACTTCATTTTTATTTTCGGTGGTTATGTATTATTTGTCGTTACATATTTATTCAATTATTATTTTATTTATTTATTTACTGTAAAAAAAATCTGTAAAAAAAAGATTAACTCTGATTAAGTTTAATTTTGTTAAAATCAAAAGTGAAAAATGAAAATAACCCAGCAGCGTCAACAAATAAGCTGAAGATAAAATAAAATGATTGCCCATACGACGGTAAACATGCAATCTTAAACATGTAAACATTGAAAGACATAACAAATGCACATGCACACGCACACACACTCACGCACACATACAGACACATTCACACGCATTCGCACACACATTCACACATACAGACACATTCACGCCCCATACGCATTCACACAGGCACAAAGAAAAACGAACAAATTAATTCAAATTTACATGCAAATAAGCATTGAAACAATTTTAGACTAATAACAATTATTAATTAATTTACTGATTTTATTATTATTATTATTTTATTATTATTTTTATTATTCGTTTACCTGTATTATTATTATTATTATATATATATATATATATATCATTAATTCATATATATTTGTTTTTTATTTTTATATTCACGTGATTATTCGTGTTTAAAAATGTTTATATTTATATAATGTTATTATATATAGTTATTCATAATATATATATATATATAATGGGAAGAGGTTTTCAGCTATATATATATATATATATATATATATATATATATATCTTTTAATTTATATGTATATATATATATATATACAATTAATGTTTGTAGGTATTACCAGGTTAAATTTTACATTAACTTTGGAGTTATTTGTCATTTTAATAAACTATCATCATAACCGTCATCATAATCAATATAGTCACTGCCATCATCATCGTCGTCATCATTATTATTATTATTTTTATTATTATTGTCATCGCATTATCATTGTTATCATCATCAACCGTCAAAGTTGTCGATGACATCATTTTCATCATCAGCGCAATCGTTATCAACGTCACCACTATCATCACCATCATCATAATCATTATCATCCTCACCGACCGTCATCATCACCACCATCCTCTAACTATCAATATCATCCTTCTCAGCATCTATCATCGCTATCTTCAATTTCATCATCATTTTATTCCTTTTTTTGTCATTTTTTTATATGCGCTTATAGGTTTTATATTAGCGTAAATATATATATATATATATATATGTATATATATATATATATATATATATATATATATATATATGTATGTAATATATGGTACGTACGTACAATATTTACGTATAACGCGTGTAACGTGCCGTTTTCATTTATTTCTTTCATTTGTTTTCTTAAATTTCAAAGTTTTTCTTTCAATTTTTTTTCTTTTGTTCGTTTTAAATATTTTTTTTTCTTTTCTGGTAGCTTCTTCATTTTATGGTTTTTTTCTTAAATTTTTTATTATATTTTCCCTCTCTTCTCTCTCTCTCTCTCCCTCTCTTTCTCTTCCTGTACTTTCTTTTATTCCTCAATTTTTCCCTCACGGTCTGTTGCTGTATTTCTTTTTCTCTACTTCAATCCTTCTCTACTTCTTACTCCAAATTTTTCTTCCACACTTTTATTCTTTTTCTCGGTTTTCTTACTATCTGTTTCCAGTTTTTTTTATTTTTATTATTCTCTTTCTATTGTTTTTTCTGCTTATCTTCT